TTCCCTTGAGGAGGCTATATGCTTCTAGAGGATATTAGGCCTGAAACTCACACCTTACCTCAAGTGAAATTCCTATATAGGACCTATTGCTAAATATACAGGTGAAATTATCAGCTACCTCTACTGATTCAGTACCTGATTCTTCATGCTATCCGTCCCCTTTTATAAGAACCAGATCAGACCAAAAATGGAGCATTGTTGTCATATTTGGGAAGAAGCTGCCCAGACGTCACTTTCCAGTCTTGAAAGGTTCAAAAGCATCTCCGAGTCTTTGTTGGAGAATAATAATTTGCCACACTCTCACAGGCCGGAAGTTGCAAGCCTCTAACGGCTCTGTCGCTACTAATATGGAAAGTGCTAGGAGGAACTCTTCTTCTTGTTCCATCCGGTTAGATCGTCACGGCTAGACCGCCATGCCATTTACATAGTAGCACTCAATCCATATTTCTTTGGCGTGAAACAATTTCCACTCAAAAAGCTTCTTCCCGAGAACCTCTTTCCTACAGAACAGATTACTTTTCGGATGTTTTCCCGTTTACTACAATCTTAACCGGGAAGTCTAGATTCAAACGTTATCTTCCCCTCCTATCCATATAAACTATCCTTTACTGTAACCCCCTAGCAGGCTTTGTACAGATAAACCCTATTGAAAAAAAATGAAATCGTACAGTTAACTTCCTTACTTTTTTCATTCTAAGAATATAATGTCAACATTTGAAACTCACTGAGTCTACAAAAACTAGCAAAATATCTGTGACACGATACATGATTGGACTCTTGACGCAGCCTGTTACCGTTTCAATCTCAGACAGATGATATAAATCCTAAGATAGATTAACATTTATGTATTATCATGTCTGTTCATGGCGTAGGCGATCATGGTGCTCCACAGCTACCTTTTTAAATATACGTTAATTTTGCTTCTTGGGACAGATAGTGTACTGGTTTCTCAGTGTCTTCTACAGAGTTTCGTGTTTTTCTTTCTCTCAATTGAACTGCGCTTGACGATTTCAGTTTCCTTGACAGTAAACGTTACAGTCATTGATCAAAATTGTTTTGCGATGATATTATATATTCAGGTTAAAATCGCAATCGTCCTTACTCTTTTTATATTCTGACAATGTTCACACACACACACACACACATATATGCACACACACACACACACACATACATACAAACACACACACACAGAGGTACACCCACACACGCACGCACACACAAACTTTTGTACAGAAATAAAGTATATTTGATTACTAATCGGGAGATTGTAGGTTTTGAGGAGCGGTTAGCCGCCTCTTAATTGCTGTTGTTCCCAGGTTCACCCTGATTCTGGGGTGGTAGCAAAAAAATACCAGTAATACATTTTATATTAAAAAAATACCAGCAATATATTTTTATATAAGAAATTACTAATGCTCACAAGGAAATTAAATTTCAAGATAAATACATACATAAAGAGTTTATTTAAAAATAAAACAGTATTTACTTAAATAAAATGTATCTATTAAAATAACGTACACACAGAACATACATATATATATCTACCCTGACGATCCGCGTAGGTGAAACCTAGGTAGGTTTGTCTGGCTCTTTAGTTACTGAAAATTTATATTTAGATTTATTTCCCTTCATATATATGTTTCGGTAAACAGTCTAGCGGATTTCATTTAGATTCCTTTTCTTCTATTACTTTTGTCATAAAATATCCCACATTATGGTAACAGAAGATCTGTCAATAAAAGTGAAACGTTGTAAGAAGCTGGACGTGAAATTACTGTGGATGATCTAGCGAATAAACCAGTCTTTATTAATTTTCCTCTTCGTAAATGGATTTCTCTTTTAATTAGAGTAGCATTTTTTTAAATCAAAATTAGGTTCAGTGTTCTTACGGTGAGCAACTACTGCATTTAATGTGTTGTTTTGTAAAAGATCCCTTTTTTGTTCATAATCTCTTTTATTTTCATTCTTTAACGTTTCTCCCATATAATACTTGTGGAAATTATTACAAGTGACAGACTAAATACATACTTCAAATTTTAGCTTATTATTTACTTTTGTATTAATTAATTTATTTATTGTTTCAGGAGTACAGTGCTCTTCGATAAAAATGACTCGGATGATTTTTTTTTTTTTTTTTTTTAATAAATGTTCTCTTTTCCGATGAAACGAAAGTTGAGCTAAATTCAAAGAATAAGCGATCTAAAATTAGAAGAAGCTTTGAAAGCTCTTTGAATTTAGCAGTGAATACTGTCAAGTATCCGTTCAGTATAATGTTCTGGGGATGCTTTTCTTTTCAGGGAACTGGTTTCTTAAAACCTATTGAAAAGACCCTCAGGAGCGAGCAGTACAAGAGAACTTTAGAGTCTTGTCTGCTCCCTTCTGCTGAAAGGGTGCAAATCGACCCCACCAAGCTCATTTTTATGCAGGATAATGCTCCCTTTCACAAATCAAAATTGATGAAGGAATACTTTGATGAGAAGCAGGTGAGTGTTATGACATGGCCACCCCAATCTCCTGACCTCAATCCCATAGAAAACTTATGGAGCATTATGAAGTACAGGCTCTTGAGAAAGCAGTTGAGCAACAAAGAGGACTTGATTGTGAATTTCATGGAATTCACTGCTTGGAGATGAGATTTGCCAGAACCTAATCAAATCAATGCGAAAAAGGGTTGAAAACGTTGTTCAAAATAAAGGAGGACTCATAGATTATTAAATATTTCAAACTATATTACCTATTATAAATAAATTATACCTCTATTATTCTTTATTTAAAGCTGTTCGGTTATGTTTCTATTGATTACTAGTTGCAGGAAATAAGTGAGTCACTTTTTTTGCACAGTGTTTTTCCTAAATCGCATTTATATCCAAATTTATAATTATCAATAGAATACCTTAGGTGAGTAAACTTTTTTACTAGGTGGTCAGGAAGAGGTCTTTATATTAGTAAGATTAGAAATTAGTTTGACCCCAAAAACAATAAGCGAAAAAAAAATTAAGTAAAAAAATCAGGTGAGTCATTTTTATCGAACAGCACTGTAGTTGTAACAAGGTTTAGGTTAAGCTTAGATAAGTACATTTCAATTTTAATTGTGATAAGAGTTGTTGATTTGAACAATATCTTTTGATGCTTTCTGTTTGTTGGAATGGTCTACTCTCCTATTTTAGAATATTGTTCGAGACTTTTATTTTTGCATTGAATATAAAATAATTAATGTATTGGTGGTGTCTAATGGATTTTAAATATATTTATTCTCTTCATGTAAATATAGAGGACTATGAATTATGAATGCACTTAAAAAGGATTCGATGATTATTCAGAGTGTTATTTAGTTATGGTGGGATAGAAAAAATTATGAGTTAATTTGCAAGGAACACTTAGTTTTAGGCTTTTGTCACTGCGGTGTAACATGTTATCTAGGGAAAGTAAATATTGTTTGTTTCTATCTAATAAGTAAAAACTGTCTTATCGTCGATTTTGTGTAATTTATCTACATGTTCAGGTAAAATAATCGTTTTATTATTTAAATATTTTCCCTATCTGAAGTAACTTTTACAAAGATGATTTTACGTAACTGAAAAGCGATGCGATGACGAATTTTTAAAACGATATTCAGCGTTTCAAAAATATCCTTCAGACTGTTCAATGGGAATATTTATGGTGGTGTTATGAGAGGCTTATGGATGCATAAATGAAAAAAAAAATGATCTGTAGTAGAATCAGGCCAGTACGTTAATATCTTCGGTTCCGATGAATTGTGACTTGGTGCTAACATGAACATATCCTGGCATCTCGGTCCCCCCCCTTTCACTGTCGAAACGGTTAAGTGTAGCTCTCTCTTCAACTCCAATAGCTTCATGTCTCGCACCTCCCGTCTGTGGAATTCCGTTCCTGTTACTTGTTTCCCTGATAGCTATAATCTCCAACTATTCAAATGTAATGTCAATCGACATCTCCAGATCTGCCTTGATCTGTTCCCTGTCCTTCTCTTCCCCCTTTCCTCTATCACTCCTCTTTACTCTCGCTTCCACTCTCTGTCACCCATTCCCTGCTAGTGGAATCGCGCCTTACATGGCGTGAAATGCTATAAAAAAAATCAGTCACAACGTTCCTTACAACGAGTGGAAACATATTGGATAATTCAGCCGTGCCACACGCTGGGATTAGCTTCTTAGACCGATATTAATAATAAATAATAGCTACCGCCTAAAGCAATCGACCATAGCGAGATTCGAAACATGTTCTTATGTTCCAAATACTAATGTCAAATCGGCTCGTTTTTTTTTTTTTTAATATATTGTAGCAATTAAGATTGATTTATCTCTATTTGCCGAGCAAAGATGTTTTCTTTGAAGAAGTGAATCTGGGTAGCACTTAGCGAACAACGAAACTATTCAAGATAATATAATATTAAAATATGTCGATGATTACGACACTCACATTACAATGAGCCACCTTTGATGCATTTCTACAGGCTCTTACACTGATACACTCGCCGACATAAACTTTGAACACATTATATTAGTTCTGCTATCGTTTTTAAAATAAAAGGTTGCACCGTTCACGTCATTGCAAGTGCAAAGACTTCTGGGCAGAGATTTTGAAGATTTTGGAAATTGAAAGATTCTTATCAGCAAGTGATCCTCCCGTGCAAGTCGAAGAAATCAGCATTGCAAATCTGTCGGCTCAGGACTAATTATTGCGTCAAACACACTCGACAACCCAGTACGGGTAAAAAAAAAAAAAAGGCGCAATTTTAGTCCGAATTTTTCTATTATTTCACTTTACCGGGTTATCGCTTCACTATATTTTTTCGTTCGTTTTCTGAATTGACGGCGCCGACAGAATTGACATTCCTCAAGCGGGGAAAGTGAAATTTGTAACGAAGTAATATTTAGTGTTCGAGGAAGAAAAAAAACTAAGAAAATGAAATCAAATAAAATCAAAGAAGCAATTAGCAGTAATATTCACTGGATTAAATGTTGATATGTAGGAAGTCACCTCCCACGAACATAAAAGGAATCAGAATAAGTTGTCTTAGAAGGAGAGAAAGGAAGATAGAAAGAAAGAAAGAATGAAAGGGGATAGAGGAGTGAAAAGGAACGTGAAACAATAGAAAGAAAACAGGGAATTAGAAAGAAAGAGTTATTTAGAAAGAGAGGGTGAGATTTTAATGAAGATAAAATGAAAGAGAAAGGGGGAAGTAGGACAAGTAGAGAGAGGGAGAGCGAAAGTGGAAAGAAGAGTGTGTAGATAAGAGTGGACCGATAGAAAGGCGATGAAATAGAAACAGAATTTGAGAAAGAGAGAGAGAAGGTGTAGTAAACATTAAAGAAAAGAGAAATGAGGGAGGAGGGGGAGAAGGGCAGTGGGTAAGAGAGTTGAAAGAAGAGAATGCAGAAAAGAATGGAGTAAGAGGAAGACAGCGAAAGAGATAGAGAAAGTGATGCTGAGAAAGAGAGAGTGAAAGTGTGATGAACATTAAATAAAAGAGAAGTCAAGAGAAGAGGAGGAGGAGTAGTGAGAGTAAAAATACGTGGATATATATATATATATATATATATATATATATATATATATATATATATATAGAGAGAGAGAGAGAGAGAGAGAGTAGATAAAAAAGAACCGGGAGAAAGACAACAAAATAGAAAGAGTATTCGAGAAAGCGAGAGAGAAGGATAATGAACATTAAAGGAAAGAGAAATGCTAGGGAGAGAGAGATAGAGTGATGAGGATATAAGAGGGGAGAGAAAAGAATGAACCGATAAAAAGACAACGAAAGAGAAAGACATACTGGAAAGGAGACGGAGATAAAGTGCACTGTATATTAAAACAGAAAGAAACATACAAGAAATGAGAGAGGTGGCTAAGGAGAGAAAGGAAAGAGAAATGAGAGAGGGGGATAAGTAGTGAGAGGAATAGAAAGAATGGATAAGAGAGAGTGGGGGAAAAGAATGAACCGATAGAAAAAAACAACGAAATAGAAACAAAGAGTTGGCAAGAAAAAGAAAGTGAAAATAAAGATATATTAAAACAAACCTGAGAGGGGATAGATAGCGAAAAAGAGAAGTAGAGAAAGGAGAAAGAATAGGAGAGAGAGTGAGAGAGAGAGAGAGAAAAGGGGGAATAGACAGATATAAAAAATAACAGACATATAGACGTTAATAAGCGAAAATAAAAGTAATGAAAAGAGACATAGACAAGAAACAAGGGATTGGGATAGAGAGTTAAAGAGAGGGAGAAAATAGTCAGAAAGAGTAAGAGGGGAGAGTTGAGGTTACTGTAGAAAAGCATGGACGGACAGAAAAAGACAGCGAAAGAGAAAACAGACAAAAGGATATTCCGAAAGAGAAAGCGAAAGATTAATTAACATAAAGGGAAAGAGATATATCAAGAAATATGAGACATAGAGAGAGAGAAAGTGTAGGAAATAGAGAATGAAACAAAAATGAGGAAAGAGAGGATGAGAGTGTAGAAGAGCCAGGATGGCTAGAAAAAAGACAAGGAAAGAGAAACAGCTGCAGAGAAAGTGAAAGTCTAATGAACATAAAAAGGAAAAGACATATGTAGAGTGCGATAGAAATGCATCCCACATAATGTTAAGACCCGATATGCAATATAATTGGCCCTGTTCTGGCATCTCGTCTAGAGTCGCTCTCCCATAGACGCGCCGTCGCCCCTCTCTGTCTTTTTTACAAATACTTTCATGGTAATTGCTCCGAGGAGCTGCATTCGCTTTTTCCCAGACTTCATGAATTCAAGCGCCCTACGAGGTTGGCATCCCGCTCTCACCCTTTCACTGTCGAAACTCCTAAATGTAGCCGTCTCTTCTACTCCAATAGCTTCATGTCTCGCACCTCTCGCCTGTGGAACTCCCTACCCTATTCCAGTTTCCCTGAGAGCTATAATCTCCAACTATTCAAATGTAATGTCAATCGACATCTCCAGTTTCCTTGATCTATCCACTATCCCTCTCCTCATACTCTCCTCTATCACTCCTATCTGATCTTGCTCCAAATCTTCTGTAACCCCTTGCGTCCTAGTGGCTTCCAGCCTTGCTTGGGTGAAACGCTTAAAAAAAAAAGACATTAGATACAGGAAGACGACAGTTCCACTAATGTCTTACTATTATGTGAGAGTTATGTGGGAGTTATTTCTGCCGCGCCATGTATAAACAATGGAAGAGGTGGATAGAGAAAGATACATAGATAGATAGATAGATGGATAGATAGATAGATAGATAGATAGATGGAGCAAGAAGGGTAAAAAGAAGAGAAATAGACGTCACGGACAGGGCGAAAGATAGGAAGGAGAATGGTACGAACGAATAATAATAATAATAATAATAATAGGGAAAGTAAAATAGATCTAATATGGAGGACTATAAAAAAAACTAGGCAACACCATATGAAGAAGGTGGAAGAGAAGAAAATAAGCAGGAGGAATAGCAAAGGAAAAAAAAAACACAGAGAAAGACAAATAAAACAAGCATAAGGAAGGTGGGGGAAATCCATAGGCAACACCAAAAGAAGAAGAAGAAGAAGAAGAAGAATGAGGTGGCAGAGGAGAAATAGTAGGAGGAGGAGGATAAAGAGAAGGATTTGAAGAAGTAGGTAAGGGAAAAGGGAGACGTATGAAAGAGAGTTAAAGGCTCTAAGCAACGCCTGAAGAAGTGGGAGGAGGTAAAAATGAGAAGCAGAGGGGGGATTCAAAGCAGAAAAAATATTTCGAATAAGTGAGAAAGAGATATGGAACAACTATGAAGAAGAAGAGCAGGAGTGAGGGTGTAAGGAATAAAAAGAATGAAGAACGGAGAGGAAGAATTAGAAAAGATAATGATAAATGTTGAAGAAGAAGAAGAAGAAGAAGAAGAAGAAGAAGAAGAAGAAGAAGTTAAATTTTAATTAGTTTGAATATCAACCCGTACGTTTACGGAAAGACAAAATGTTGGAAATAAGTTTAAAACGCAAAGAAAGCATCTGACATAAAATAAAACGAATAATGTTTTGAAGAGGGAATGTGGGGAGAGAAAGATAGAAGGAACATAAAAAAAGAGGGGTATGGAGAATGGAATCGAAAGAAGTAGTAAAAGAAGGCCAATAATAGAGAGAATTCGAAATAAAAATTGCTTCAGGCGGAGGATAAAGCTGGCAACGTGTAACTGTTGAAGATCAAAGAAAAACAGAACGTGCGCATGGGTGATAAGATAACTTGACAAAACACAAAAGGATACGAGATTAAAACAGACACCAATGGAGGGTGAAGAAATGAGCAAACTAATAAGCAAGAGAAGAAAAAGGGAGGTAACAAGAACGGAAACAATCAAAAACAAAAATACAAGTAAACATTATTTGTTCATTAAAAAATATATATATATATATATATATATATATATATATATATATATATATATATATATATATGCATATATATTAAGTAATTCATCTAGTCTAGAAGAAACCTCAACAGAATGCAGAAAGCACTGGACGGCCATTTCGTCTTATATTTGGGACTCATCAGCAGTGCGCATCCACTACCGAGAATTTAAACCCGGGCACTTACATTGACAGGCAAACATCATACCAGCTGTACTAACGGGCCTCGCTGACGAAGAGGTAGCGAACTAGACTCGATATTACGTCGCTCGTTCACATATTTCGTAGTGGAACTCATCCAAGTTTCTTTAACCATAGGACTGCGCCCCCGAGAGCCACGACTACCATCACCAAGCCGCTCCATCCAGAACATTAGAAGCCGGTTCAAGCAAGGACATACAAATGATATAAATTAAGGAGCATTTGAGATAATTAAGTAATTCATCGAGTCTCTCTCTATACACACACACACACACACACACATATATATATATATATATATATATATATATATATATATATATATATATATATATGTGTGTGTGTGTATGTATGCATATACGAGGTCATTCAATAAATAAGGAGAATTTTTCGGTATAAGGACTTCTAATACAGATAGAAGCTTACATTTTTTATTTTTAACGTAGTCTCCCAGCACTGTCACACACTTTTCCCATCTGTGCACAAGCTTCCATATTCCCTCAGAGTAAAAATGTTTGGACTGATGTCTCAGCCAGTCGATCACAACACTTTTGACTTCATTGTCACTTTTAAACTTTGTGCCTGTCGTGAACGCTTTCAAGGGACAAACAGGGGCAAGGTCTGGGCTGTAAGGTGTGGGGATGAGGGAGCAGTTCCCAGCCCAGCTCGTTGATGGTCTGCACCGTTTGGGCTGCTGTGTGAGGCCTTGCGTTGTCATGATGCAAGATGACTCCTTCTGACTGATGACCCCTGTGTTTTTATTTTTTTATGTCTTTCTTGACCTGCCTCAGCAGTTCACAGTAGTTCTTCTATCAGACTAAATGAAAACATTGACTGATTCGATCACTTCAGGAGACCTCCCAGGCCTGTCTTCATCCTCAACATTGCTCCGTCCTTCTTTAAACAATTGTAGACATTTTTTTTGGCTGAAACATGTGGCACCATACACAGTTGACATTCTCCTATGAATTTCAACTGGTTTGCACCCTTCAGCAACCAAAAACTTGATAACTGACCGCTGTTCAATCCTGGAGCATTCTTGGTCGGCCATCTTTGTTAATCGCCAAAACTCTCAAAGTTTTTTTTTTTTAAAATCAGCAAAAGAAATTAAACCCATGTGAAAAAGAAGTAAAACAAAACAAAATAAAAGAAAGTAAGCTTTTATCTGTATTAGAAGTCCTTATACCGAAAAATTCATCTTATTTATTGAATGACCCCGTATATATATATATATATATATATATATATATATATATATATATATATATATATATATATATATATGTATGTATAATTATTTATTCAGAAAATTTATAACATAAACATGTTATAAAATCATTACAAAAATAGCCATCCCGGTGTCTTATCAAGTGATGATGTCGATTGCAAAAGAAATGGTTTTAAAAGTTTCTAATTAGTTAACGATTTTTCACAAGGGGAAAACGTTGTTCCAAAAGCTAGAATGACCAATCAATATACAAATGTTAAGGTAGAAATAAGTGAACCACTAAGACACAAGGTGATTATTCTTTATGTGCCGTGTACTTCAGGACGTAGGTGATCATGGCCTCCATATTTTCCTGTCTCTTGTGACACTCAATGAGCTTTGACTTTCTCCCAAACCCAGTTCGACCATTCATCTGTCCTGTGGATATCAAGTTCTCCAAGATATCCCTTCTCATTTCGTGCACTAGAATTTCAACTGCTTCTTTCTGATGTAAATCATAAGCTTCCTTTTATCCCCGTTTTCTCTAAAACCTCGACGTTGCTTACGTGTTCGGTTCATGGTATCCTCAGTATGTTTCTGTAGAACCACATTTCTGTAGCTTCAAGTCTCTTGAGTACAAAACATTAAGAAACGACATTGCATTTAATTTGTTTTAAAATCCAAGTTGAATGGAAAATTAAGAAATAAAAAAACAGGCACTCGCAGGCACTGCATCTGGTCAGACATCATCAAAAGTATATTGATATGACAATGCCGGAACTCCTGAGAGACACCGTCAACAGGTCATCCTAGAGCAAGATATCCGTTTCTTCTGCCCTTAGGTCTCACCGACGCCTGAAGCAGTCAAGGGATTGGTAATGATGATGATTAATCATAAAGTCTAGGTACCAAATAATATTTACTTTGAATAACACAAAAATGTGGCACAAAGCCAAAAGTGGGTGGACAGGGAAAGGCTGGTCCTCAGTCTACCCTATCTTAAACTAAGCTAACCACGATTACTGACGCAAACATAGTAAAGAATTACTTACACCAAAACAATATGTTCTTACTTACCATTCTTGCTACAGTCAACATAATAACTCAAAGTCTCTATGTCGTCCCAACTGTTTGCATGTGGGGTGAGGAATAAAAATAGCAACGTTTGAGTCGACCAGCCACAAATATTTCTTAATATATGACGTCATTTGTTTACATTTGATACGCCAGAGCAGTTATGAATGTACGAGATTCATGGAAGATTGAAGTTTATAAGCAGTAAATTCGACCTTGTCTACCGAAAAGGTTCTTTGTGGCCCAGAGGTAAGGCACGTCAGCGTAAATGACGGTTCCGTATAGGATGCAGGTTCGAATCCTGTCAAAGAACGAATATTTTCTATGAAAATTTCTCGGACATTCAGGCCGGTAAATGTTATTTAATACTGTTTATTATAAACAGAGCATTTACTTAAATACTTGTATCTATAAAAAAAGAACGTTAATAAATAAATTGTCGGACTTTGTCCATTTCTTATATATATATATATATATATATGTAATAAATATATATATATATATATATATATATATATATATATATATATATATATGCGTGTGTATGTATATGTGTTCATATATGTATATGTGTGTTTGCATATATATATATATATATATACACACATATGCTTTCATAATCATGGAATATTGAAAAGTCATGTTGCCTCTTGATCTTAAATAAAAATCAAAAACACTATAAATCTGGCACCATCTCCACTTGCTATGTCCATTCTAATCTGGCGAATAATTTAACAATAAACGAAAGGACAACCGCCATTATCCTCGCAGCTACAAAAACTATAGTCTCCGTTTGCTAATATCTTGACTTAATATTGGATAGCACACTGGTAACAATAAAACATGAATTATTTTTTCTAGCATTGCTCAGGCTTTCTTTTTTTTTAGCTCATAAGAATTCACATTTTATTTGCTAAAGAAAACACGCCGTGATCTATCAAGCAATATGTAGAAGGAAATAATGAAGGTATTAATAATGATAATAATAATATGGGACCCTAAGGTCATAGGTCAGACATGGAGACGACAGAGAATCAGCGTTTTCCCCTTATTAGCTTTTCTTTAAGACAACAAACATTCAATAACAAGGGGGGTGATTTTTTCCTATTACACTCACAGCACAGAATACGACACTTTGCAGGACCTAGCTAACAAAATAAAAACAAAAATAAATAAAAAAAAATTTAAAAAAATTCGGCTTAAACAGCTGGGACGAATTTATTAATTTTTTGTCATTAATTCCTTTCCTTTATTACACAACAGATTGCGCGACGTTTATTTATGTCTTGTCGTATATTCACTCTTAAACTTACGAACAATTTATCCAAGTATGGTGTGCTTTTTTAGTAAATATTTTACAACTGTCATAAACCAAGTCATTATTGAAAGGCTTGTGATTTATTTGTTCTGAATTTTGTTTTTTAGCCTAAAACGAATTTACTACCCGCGTAGCAAATGAAAAATGTAAGAAAATCATTTATAATTTACAAGACGAACACATGGTACACACCTATAGGCTATATTTAATTATTCAGCTTTTAACTTTTAGTTAGAAAGCTATTATTATTTGACAAATTCAAGCTGATCATATATTAAAATTTCTTTTCTAAATCTGACATCTATAGGTAATATTAATCTGAAAGACAGAACTATTAGATTAAAAACTGTTAAGTTTAAGCATAAATGATAAAGTTAACAGAAATCTTTTTAAACCATTCGTAAGGCGTATTGCAGTAGCGAATATTACTCACTGAAAGGTAAACTGAGTATAAGGAAAAAAAGGAAAAATTTCGATAGAGATAAATAAAGACTGACATCCAATGTAATATTAATATTCTTATTTGGAAGGAAATACTTTAGAATATCCTCACATATGAAGACGAGAACTGAGGTATGAGGAATGCGTTTTGTATAGTATAATGAAAATACCATGGGCAACACATGTGAGTAATGTGGAAGTTTTCAAAAGGAAAGCAATCAAAACGACACATACGTAGATTTAGAAGGAAACAACTAAAATTTCTGGGGCTCATAATGAGGAAAGAGCGTTTCGAAATTTGACGCTCACAAGAGGCATGAGAAATGCCATTTGTATAGTATAATGAAAATACCATGGGCATGACATGTGAGTAATGAGGAAGTTTTCAAAAGGAAAGAAATCAAAACGACACATACGTAGATTTAGAAGGAAACAATTAAAATTTCTGGGGCTTATAATAAGGAAGGAGCGTATCGAAATTTGACGCTCCCAAGATATTAAAAGCAAGATGAGAGAGGGCGAGTGTAGCCACCCTAACAATCTGGTGTAAAAGGATCGGAGAACAAGGATTCGTAAAGAACGCAGAAAGTAAGACATTGTTAAGATCTACCAAGATTAGGAAATGGTATAAAGTCATCAAATAAATGCCATTTGGTATCAAATTAAACCGACAATTTCTTTTACGATTGCAATCATTTTTTCGCAGTTCCTTCTTTCCGGATTTCAGATGAA